ATCCCCAAGGCAGAACACACCCAGCACCCACTGCTTCCCTTGTAAAGGCCAGTCAGCCCTGCTGCGCGGCCAGGCCACCCGGGGCTCCACTAAGGGGCCACCCGCTCTCCGCCCAGGTACTTCCTCATCGAGCGCGGGAAGAACATGTGCGGGCTGGCCGCCTGCGCCTCCTACCCCATCCCACTGGTGTGAGCCCCGACGCGGCACCGACTGGACGAAGGGAGGAACGAAGGGCGGCCTGGCCCGCTGGTGGGAACCCCGCTCTGGAGGAAGGGCGGGAGCCACCCCCCCGCCGGAGGGCCAACCTCACACCCTCACCCCGGCCGAGGAGGAGGAGGAGGAGGAGGAGGAGGAGGACCACCAAGCATCAGCCCAGCACTCTCTCGACCAAAGCTGATCACCAGCCACACGCCTCGGGCCTCATTTTTAACTGGCTCATGCCCACGTGTCCCAAGACTGTTCTTTATCTCCAGAGGGCTACTTGTCCCCTTTGGAGAGCACTCCGGTGACTGTCTTCATTGTGGTGTCTACTCAATAAACATTTAGTGAGCACCTGCCCGGGCCGGGCCTGTAAGCTGTGTGCTGGGACCAATTACGACCCTGGGGCTCAGGTCTCTGGAGGGGAGAATGGTGTGCGTGCTGGTGTCAGGCCAGCCAGATGGGGGACCCGGGAGCCAGAGCGTTTTCTGAGGGGGCAGTGGAGCATGTGCCCGAGGCTTTGGCCCTTGGCTCACGTGTGATCCCACCTCCCTGCCGCTCCCAGAAGGGACGCAGCACAGACCTCGCATTTCCCACCGCAGTGACACTGGGCTAAAAAGCCCAGCCCACAAGCAGGGAGAACCCGACCTCCACGGTAAAGCCCTCGATCCCATTCAGGTAACTGCACAAAGCCCCCAGAAGGCCAAATTCCAGTTCTTTATCAAATGCTTTTCTCCCTGCAGACAGTAATGTGTGCAGGTTCGCTGACTCTCACAAACACATACTTTTCATGACAAACTCATTAAACCAATGGAATAAGCCACCTTCCTCTTAATTTCCCATTGTAACAAAAACCCGAGGTTTCTCTCCTAACGACATCGAGAAATGACAAGCTGGTATTAAAAGCTGAGTTGAATGGAAGGTTTACCTGATTCCCACCAGTGGTCACTTCATTCAATGAAGTTTTTTGAACTCAGAATGAAGTTGAAAATTTTAACGACTGCTTTTAGCATCCAGTGTTTGGAAAGGAAGCGTCTGGTAGCAACTCACCACAAGCCTCAGCTGAACGCCG